GGGAGCTCTCTGGGGTCTCTTTCATAAGGGCACTAATCCCAGTCATGAGGACCCCACCTCTTAATACCATCACACTGGGCATCAGGTTTCAACATACAAATTTTGGGAGGACACAAATATTTAATCCATAGTATATGGTAATAGTTAGACAGGCAGACAGGCAGAGTATGTGAGTACAGATGCTGGTAGGTGGGTAGATGGGGCAGAGAGAGTCTGTGGAAGTTGTTTTCTTATTACTTCAATTTTCTTGATGGAGTAAGAACCAAGGTCATTAACAAAAAGTGAGTACGGGGGAGGAGGTTTGGGGTTTTGAGAAGGCATGAGAAAGTGTTAAAGTGCTCATCTAGAGAGCAAAAATATGAATGAACTTGGAACAGAGGGCAGCATTAAAGGTCCACTTGAGGCTCACGATCATGAACTCAAAGTGGGACTAGTCAGTAAAGCTGGGTGTTTCATTCCATCTATACAAAGTCACATGGATATGGGCATAGAGTAGGTGGAGAGCTGGATTCAAACAAGGCTGGGTTTTACAAGAAAGGGAGCCATATACACCAGAATGATTATAATGATCAACAATGGAATTTAAGCTGGGTAAGAATAGGGGTGTGAAAAGGTAAGGGATCAATAGCTTGGAGGTATTGGTAGGTCAAAGAATTGTTGGGGTAGGGATTCTATAGGGAGTGAGCTGGAAAGACAGGCAGCAGAAGTGAAATGTTTAAGATAGAGATTAGGGAGGATAACAATAACAAGGTCTAGGGAAGAGTTTCTCAACCTCAGCAACTACTGACATTTTGGACTAGACAATTCTTTACTGTTCAGGACTGTCCTGAGCATTTGTAGTATCTTTAGCAGCATCCACGGCCTCTACCAACTAGATGTCAATAATACCAGCCCCCCAGTCGTAACAACCAAAATACCTCCAGATAATACAAAATCGCCCCAAATTGAGAACCACTGGTCTAGGGTATGACCAAGCAAGTGAAAGTGGTTGAGATCACTGGAGTACAGAAGGTCAAGAAAACAAGTGGGAGAGAACTGGAAGAATCAGGTATGAATGTATTACAACTGCCAAGAATTAAGATAGGAGTTCTGCCAGAGAGACAGTGCGCAGGAGCCACGATAGTCAAAACATGAAGCAGATGTCAGCAGATGACAATAATTAGGAGTGAGTGACATAACCTGATGACAAGGCTCAAAGCTGATAATACATCAGCTTCACTGTAGTGGTAAAGCTGGTATGAGAACTTAGGCTCCTCTCCTAGGGCTTTTTTATTTTATTTATTATTTATTTATTTATTTTTGGCTGCGTTGGATCTTCACTGCTGCACGCAGGCTTTCTCTAGTTGCAACGAGCAGGGGCTAGTCTTCCTTGTGGTGCACAGGCTTCTCGTTGCAGTAGCTTCTCTTGTTGCGGAGTACGGGCACTAGGGCATGCGGGCTTCAGTAGTTGTGGCACATGGGCTCAGTAGTTGTGGCACGCAGGCTCTAGAGCGCAGGCTCAGTAGTTGTGGCACACAGGCTTAGCTGCTCCTCGGCATGTGGGATCTTCCTGGACCAGGGCTCGAGCCTATGTCCCCTGCACTGGTAGGCGGATTCTTAACCACTGCGCCACCAGGGAAGTCCTCCTAGGGCTTTTTTAAATGTCTAGAAGGTGGGCAGACATTTCCACATGATTTCATGTTCAATTAAATTAGACTCAGAGAGTCAAAAATAGGGGCTGGTCAAAAACAATTGGCACCACTTCTGAATGCCATATATAACACACAACTGAAGGCACATAGTTTTGGCCAAATACCATCCTAAAAATAGGACACAACATCTTGGTTTTTAAAAAACTCTCAATTTTCTTTCTGGCCCTTAAAAGTATTATACTGCCTTTGATGAGGAAAAAAACATCTTTTATTAAATGATTCCATTTATCTGTTTGCTACAGAGCACCATAAACAACATTTTCCTTAGATAACCAGTCGCCTTTATCTTCACATAGTCTAACCGCCTTTATCTTCACATAGTCTAACCATCGAGGAGGACAAAAAGACCCTAATGGACTGATTGCAATCTCCAACTGTGTGTCACCAGCTCCTCTCACTGCCACCTGGAAAGATAATCTCACCAGATTGCAAGCAGATTTAGAGCAAATGCCCAATTTTCATCCCAACTTCCTAAAAGCATATTCACAAGGGAAGTACTTGTTGAAATTAATAGATGTGTCCCCTTTAGACAAGAAACAGCTCGAGATGGGCAATTCAAATTGTACTTTTATTAAATTCTCTCAAATGTACTGTCTCATTGCAATAATTAAATCTTTAGGCCACAAGGAAGCTGGGCTCATTGAACCTCCACAAGCCCAGCTGCAGAATTCTATCTTGTTATGGCTATACTGAATTTAAATTTTCTAATGCATAAACATGAAGCAGAAAAGATGGTGTCAAGGAAACATGCAATGCTATCATCCAAGTCCTGCTCAACTTTACAGATTACTGAATCTAATATTTAAAGCTAACATTGATAAGGGTAAAATCCTCTTATTTCAAGTCCTCCAAGAGGAAGTTATCAGAGCTTAATAGTGATATAATTATTAGACTTGCATAGTGCTTTTATGATGACCAAGGTGTTTTCATATATTGACTCTAAACTGGATGCTTTCCTATTAGGAAAAGACAACAAGATCTTCAAAGTAAGAACCAGGATTTAAATCTCAGCTTTGTCACATATTAGCTGTGTTATATTACTTTATCTGCTTTCATTTACTTATCTGTTGAATGTGGATAATAACTAACTTAACAGTTACTGTGGAGAAAAATTTCCCTACAATATGAATAGCATAGTTGTGACACATAATAGTTGTTCAATAAATAAACAATAGTTGGGCTTCCCTGGTGGCGCAGTGGTTAAGAATCCACCTGCCAATGCAGGGGAAACGGGTTCGAACCCTGGTCTGGGAAGATCCCACATGTGACGGAGCAACTAAGCCCGTGCGCCACAACTGCTGAGCCTGTGCTCTGGAGCCCGCAAGCCACGACTACTGAGCCCACGAGCCAAAACTACTGAAGCCTGCGTGCCCTAGTGCCCGTGCTCCACAACAAAAGAAGCCACCGCAATGAGAAGCCAGCGCACTGCAACGAAGAGTAGCCCCCACTCGCCAAAGGCCCACGTGCAGCAACCAAGACCCAATGCAGCCAAAAATAAATAAAATAAAATAATTTTTTAAATAAATAAAAAACAATAGTCCTCTTGTTGTTAATTGTAAAACACAAAACAAGCCTCAGAGAATGAAAACACCATAACCTTATTGTAAGGTCTCTCTCCTTGAAAAATCTACAAAATGTTCTGATTTTGATACAACAAAAATAGCTTATAGCTATTTTAGTCTTTATTTATAATTATAACACAAATGAACATAGAGAACAGGTACCTACCTTCCAAACTCTCTTGCTCATCTGAAGTATAAGCATCCATCTGACTTTGTTCCCGTAAGAAACGAATAACTGCATAAACTAGGTGCTTGATGGATGACATTTTTAAAGTTTAAACACTTTTCCTTGATAAGAAAAAGGAAAACATTGAAATAAGTAATTTTAAAGAATCAGTGAAGATTATAAATCACAAGGGTCATAAATTACATTAAAAGTAAAAAGTCTGTATTATCTTCACTTCTTTCTTTTTAAAGAGTCAAGAGAGCAAAAAGTATAGATATGCTAATGTATGACATTTTCATTTACACCCAATAGTATTAGGTTATGTTAAAACTTGCAAAAGTAAAATCTTTCTCAAAACATGTACAACATAGCTTAAATTCTCACTGAATAGTTCACTGTATCTTAACAGTTTATATGGTACAGATCCAGAAAAGGACAGGGGTATAGATGCAGATATAGAAGTCCCCAAAAGGCTTTAGTACTAAGTTGAGGGAGATTTCATACTGCTGACTCAGAAGCTGATCCACGCTGAGTATTTTCCTCTGTTTCATGAGATTTTTTTCAAATGTATGCACAATTTACACTCCACCTACTTTTGTAGGTGGAGACAGTTATGTGATGAGAAAATATATTAGGGAAAGGTTGTTCAGCCATTGGGTGTCATTTTTAATAAAAATGGCATTTCTATTTAATCAAGACATGTCAGAAAATCATTGCCTAAGTCGATGGATACTACAAACCGACCAATGCTCTCTGCAGTAGCTGTGCTCTCGTGGACAAACTGGAAGCTCTGGGTCATGTTCATTCACATGGAATACTATCGCATCCAAACAGTGGCGCAGGGCCATCATGCATTAATGGCTTATTTCCAATAAATCGAATCATCCATCTGCTCCCCAGGTTCCCTAATTCAAAGCCAGGGTGTGGTACCCACCACTAGGACGTTTATTATTTGTGTGCTTATTTTAAAAGCGAGCCCAGCCAATAGGCCATGGGGTTGCAAGTACTAAATAAGGCCCCAGGGCAGAAGGGTGAAAAAAGACTGGTGGGGGGGGAGGGGAGCGGGGGTGCGAGGGGAAATGGAGAAGGGCAACCTCCTCCGGGCTTCTCCCCCTTCCTCTCCCCAGAGCACATCGACCTCCATCTCCCTCCCTTCGGTACCCAGGCCTCGCCTTGGCCCTGACGGGGTTTGCTGCGGGTGCGCGGTGCAGGCCCGGTCTGGGGCGGCGGGAGACGGACCCCTCCCATACAGAAGCCCCTTACCAGGGAAGAGGACGCGAGACGGTGGCAGCGGGCCCGAGGGCGTCGGTAAGTCGGTCCGCCGCCCCGCTGATTCTCCGGGCTTGAGCCTGGCTTCGAAGCGTAGCACTGCGAGCGGTGGCCCAAACTTCCCCAGCTCCCAGACCGCCGCCGCCCCTTAGCCCACCCAGCTGTGCGCTTCAACCCAGCTGAGGAGCCTCGCCCGAACCGCCCCCGGGGCGGTGCAAGACGCACAGGGCGGGACGCGGAGCGGGCGCGGGGCGGGGCGGGGCCGGGCGCAGGCCGGGGCGGGGCCGGGGCGGGGCTGAAGTGGGCGCCGGCTTGGGGCTGACGCACGTGGGAGGGTTCAGGAGGAGCTTGCCGCCGCCGCCGCTCTTGTCTCTTCTGCTAGGCCGCCGTGCGGCTTCCCGGCGTCCCGAATCCCTCACCCCCAAACCGGAGGACAGCGCTCCCTCAGCCGCCGTCGCCTTTCGGCGTTCCCATGATAGCCCAGTGCTTTTCGGCTGTGCGAAGCCTCCACAGGTACCTCCCGTGCGCGTGTTAACCTTGACCTTGGGCAGAGCGGGGTCTTCCGCCCCGTCACTGCCAGGCGCCTCCGCCCAGCCTTTCCAAACAGCACCCCTCCGACGCTCCTGGAACCCTCCCTTCCCACAGTCCGCATGGTCTACCCCGAGGGACACCTGGCGCGGGAACTTGGGGCCACCTTTTCTTCATCCGCTCCCTTGAGAGGGCGTCCATTCCCCTTTGTTTGGGACTGCCTCAGCTGCAAGCAGTGAGACTGGTCCCAGGCCCAGCCCAAAACGAATGCAGAAAGATGGTCGGGATAAGAAAATCATTTGACTTTCGTCCCCATCCAGAACTGCAGACCTGTCGTTAACAGTGCCGGCAGCTGTAGACTCGAATAACAATTCTCATTTACCCCTCATGCACATCGTTAACATACACATCGTTTAACACTCGCACAAGATGCAGCCGCTATGGTTTTGCTGCTTATTTCCGTCCATGCTTTCTAATTTCCTTTTTATTTACTTCCCATAAAACATTCGGCCTCTGGCCGGGGCTAATTGACCTGGCCCCAAATGGAGGAAATGATTGCTTGGACACGGTTTGGTGCAGCCCCAGCTGCTGTTTTGGACTGCTTCCTTAGCGCCCTCGCCACACCCCTGTGCCATAGACCAGTAGCAACATGGTGAGAGAATTAAATTCTTTGCACGGATGCGCTGGATGGAATGGTTTTCAGAAACAATGCCACTACCACCCGCATTCCCAAATCTAGCTTTGAACTGAAAATCTGAATGAAGAACCAACAGAAAAAGGGAAATATGTGTTTCTTGCTAGATCCTTATAAAACCTTTAGAACCTAGCAATCAGCCTGTAAGCTTTTTAACAGTTTTCTGTTGTACGTTGCCACTCATCTGTGTGGAGCTTTAGGCTACTCAGTCCTTACCGTTTTGGCGCATCTGGGGACAGTAGTGATCATAAAGAGTTAGTGTGATGATTTTGACCATATTTCAGACTGTCCTTTTAGTGTTCAGGCTGCAAGTGGTATAGCTCTCAAATGAAGCTATACCAACAAATGAAGAAATATATACCTTCCTATAACGCAGGTGTGAGAAGAGAGAATAAATTTCATATTTGACAGTAGTTCTCAAACTTTTTAGTCTCAGGACCTCTTTACCACTCAAAAATTACTGAGGACCTAAGAGCTTCTGTTTATGTGGGTTATATCTTTCCTTATTTACCATATTAGAAATGAAACCAGGGAGATTTTTTAAGTATTTATTAGTTTATTTTTAAAACAGTAATAAATTCATTACATGCATAAATAACATTTTGAACAAAAAATAACTATTTTACAAAACATCTCCAAAACAGTGAGAAGATGGTATTGTGGATTTTTTTCCTTTGGGTTTTTATTTTTAATTGTGGTAAAATATACATAAAATTTACCGTTTTAATCATTTTAAGTGCACAATTCAGTGGCATTAAGTACATTCACATTGTTATGTAATCATTACCACTATCCATCTCCAGAACTTTTTCATCATCCCAAACTGAAACTCCTCATTATCCCCTCTTCCAGTACCTGGTAACCACTATTCTTTCTGTCTCTTTGAATTCGACTATTTTAGGTACTTGATACTAGGGGAATCTTACAATATCTGTTCTTCTGAGACTGGCTTATTTCACTTAGCATAATGTCTTTAAGCTTCATCCGTGTTGTAGCATGTGTCGGAATTTCCTTCTTTTTTAAGGCTGAGTCGTATTCTGTTGTATGGATATACCACATTTTATTTGTCCACTCATTCATCCATGGACTTTGGGTTGTTTCCACCTTTTGGCTACTTTGAGTAATGCTGCTATGATCATTGGCATGCACATTTCTGTTTAAGTCTCTAATTTCAATTCTCTGGGATAGGTACCTAGAAGGGGGATTACTAGATCACAGGATAATTCTTTGTTTAATTTTTGAGGAACCACCTTACTGTTTTCCACAGCAGTTGTATTGGCAGCTATTGGCAAAGAACGAGAGTTCCAGTTTTTCCACATCTTCATCAACACTTGTTTTATTTATTTTATTTTTAAATAAGAACCATCCTAGGAGTGGCATTGTTTTGCGTTTTTGCAAAACAAATATATGACTTAATAGAAGGTAGCTGGATTCTTACATCTGCTAACACGTTTATTCTGTTGCACTGGTTCACTTTGGTTTAAGAAGATGAAGAAAATCCCACCTGTCATATGTAGTTGGAAAAGAAAAGTATTTTAATTTTAATAGACGTTTTAGATAATCATGGGTGTTCTTTGATATCACATCAAAGTTTGACAAGGTGTAGTTTTTATAAGAATGGTTGCAGTGTGAAATATGAAACTATCAACGTACTTTTTCTTACTGTTACGTTAAAATCCATGGGTCTGTTTTACACTTGCAATGAGTCTCTTACCTATGCATGATTTTGTAATATCAAACACTATTCATTTGGAAAATAGTGGCTCACTGTGTTATACATAGCTTCCTAATGTTGACATATTTTACATTATCAAATAATCATATTCCTTAATATCATCATCCCATCATAAAAGTCTTCAAATACTAGAAAGCTGGCAAGCTCATGGTGGCAGACACACTTTTTCAAAATTCTAATTTTCATTTGAAAGCTGAAATTTTATCATCGGTAACAAATACTATCAGTTGTTTTCCTTGAAGTGACAGCCTTACTATGTTACATTTTTGAGAGGATTTCTGCAAAACACTTAAGTCTGAGTAACCATGGTTTGTCTGTCAGTCATTTTTTCAAGTATAAATGGTGTTCCATGAGAAAAGCAGCTATTTCAGTTCACAATTCAGTCAATTGCACAAGTGCTTTTAATTTGCACAACCAAATTCTCTGGACAACCATTGTACTCAGGTATTCAGCCGGTGCACTTTATGCCTACTTTGCCACACATATATTTAATGATTGAGATTTAATAAAATTAACAATTTTTACTGTCTCATCAAGGACATTCTAAAGTGGAATTTACATTATTTTTAGCATGAGGGAGTGACAGTGAAGAATATAATGACTACTAGGACAGTTTGGTGTCATTGCCTTGATTTGTTCTAAGGTGCCAACAGTTTTATCTACCATTGCTTTTCACCATCAGTGCAGACGTCAACCAAGTGAAAAAGGTAAATAATGTCTTAGTATTTTTATGAAATACTTTCAACCTCACATACTCCTTGAAATGGTCTCAAGAACCACTCCCCATAGGATTGCAGACCACATTTTGAGAACCACTGGTATGTGTTATGCATATTCTTTGTTTATGCATGGAAGAAAATAAATGTAAAAAGCCGTACAATTATTACTTTTTTAGAAGCTAGCAATCTACCATAAATATATTAACTATTTTGTTACTTAAGGGCATATATTGCAGTCAATCAACATACTCTACAGTAGTAGTAGTCATCCACCCATGGTTCTTGTGAGTGACTTAATCGCAGAATCTCTGTTTCAAAATCTGTATCTTCCTAAAGGAGTCAGTACTTGACCGACCACATGGAAGGCCCTCTATGTACTCCTGATTTCCTGTTTCCTTTGACATGTGGGAATTCATTTTAGTGTTATATGAGTAACTAGGTTTTTACTCAACCGGCTTATGATTTATCTTGGGTTTTCCTGTTGTTATAGTTGCTGTATACTCGTTTCCCAAATCTAGCTTTGCAGCCAGGATCATTGATGGGGGTATTTAGCCAATTTCTTGGGAATAAGTAGACTGGGGATCTGAAGATTGAATTGTACTTGCTGTTCAACTAACCTTGTGACCTTAATTAAATCACCCAATTTCTCGGATTTCTCTTGAATTCCTTTTTTTTTTTTTTTTTTGCCATACGCGGGCCTCTTACTGTTGTGGCCTCTCCCGTTGCGGAGCACAGGCTCCGGACGCGCAGGCTCAGCGGCCATGGCTCATGGGCTCAGCCGCTCCGCGGCATGCGGGATCTTCGCGGACCAGGGCACAAACCCGTGCCCCCTGCATCGGCAGGCGAACTCTCAACCACTGCGCCACCAGGGAAGCCCCAAGACTGACATTTTTTTGAAAGACTTTTTCTTCTTATTAAGTGAAACAAAAAGGAAATCAACACAGAAACTGCAGCTAAGTATAAGAGAAAGTCCAGCTTGCAAAATATGGATTTCTGACTTACCATAGCTTATTTTGGAAGACCCTGTCCTTTTCCACCTACTCTGAGATTATCTATACCTCCTGCTTAGCGTTCAAAAGGGCACCCTCTTTATTTCTTAGACACACTTAGCTGGTATCTTTGATACCTAATCTTACTTGCTGTCAAGACCAAGAGAAAATTCTTTTTCTGCCTCACATTGTAGTCAGGGTTGTAGGAACTGAAACAGTTGACGGCTGCTTGCCACAAAGCATGACATGTATACTATAAGGCTACATTGTTAGATCTTATCATTCTAACACTGAAAATTATATATTTATACAGCTTTCACATCCTCATAGGAATTTTCTGGCAAGACACAGCATAAAGAAACACAAATTATTTATGTAAACGAGAAGAAAATGAATGATAGTAGATTCCAACTACCAGTTGTACAGCTTTTTTGGAGGTCTCATATTCAGTCACTTTTTCATTTTACAAATATTTACTGAGCACCTGTTAAGTTATTGTTTAATCTCAGCACCACCTTATTCTAAACTATACAGCATTCCCTTGTAAATCCTCTCTTTTGCTATTGTCCTCTGTCTCAGTGAATGTCACCAGTTACCCAAGTCAGAAGCCTTGGAGCTGTTCCTGGCCTTCTCTCTGTAACGTTTCCGTCAACTCCCAAGTCTTCAAATTCTTTCTCTTTTCTCTATTCGAGGTACCACCGCTATAATCCAAATCTTTATCATCAGTCTCAGCCTCAATTTTTGCTTCCTACTAATATACTTTCCTTATGAAAACAGAGATCTTTATGAAACGCAAATGTGATGTGTCACACTCCAGTTTAAAATTCTTCTTTTGATTGCCATGAATC